CGGGTACCCGCTGGCAGCCTCCGGATACCGTGGGGCCGGGGAGGGGGCTCCGGGACCCCGGCCCAGCCCCGCATGCGGGGCAGCGTCCCTCCTCCTACAGGAAAGCATCTCTCCCTGTTTGCAGATCAGCATCCCTTTCTTTTTGCAAGGTAGCGTCCCTCTCTCCTATGGGATAGCACCCCCACTTCTTGCGGGGCAGCATCTCTCCCTGCCTGTGGGGTAGCATCCCTCCCTTCTGGAAAGGCAGGATCCCTCTCCCTCTCTCTCGCAGAGTAACCTTTCTTCCCCTCCCAGGTTGTGCACGGGAGCAGCAGACACGCAAACCGCAAACAATGCTCAAGGCAAAGGTCTTCCTAAGAACTGAGCTGTGGTTTTCAATTTGGATCCCAACGGCAGCAAGAGGCACTCCAAGAGAGCGGACGCACGCCCGGGAGGAAGGGACCGCCGGCATTTGCGGATCCGGCATTTGCCTGGCTGTGTGGGAAGGAAGGGGGTCTCACTCTTGGCAGCTGTTTTTTTTTGTCCCACCTGAAACCTTTGCAGCTTTAAGCACACACTGTTTGGGTCACTGCAGGAGCTACACCTTCAGAGGTGGTGGTAAGGACAGCCAGTTCTTGGGTTTAAACTAATCCTTGCCCAAAATACTGGAGAAAGTGCCTCTTTCATATGAGCCTTTTTTCTCCAAAGCGGCTGAAGATCTGACTTAAAAAAAATTGCATCTCCAGCTGTTATGATTGATAGTAGGGCCTCCGGAAAAAGGACTACCAAGTGCAGCCGACAAACTACATGGAACTATAGTTCGAGGTGCCTGAATGTCCCATTCATTCATCTCCACAGGGAGCTGACTGACGCCCACTAATGTTTTAAGGACATTAACTGCTCCACAGCATGTTTGCACATAAGAAACCAGGCGCAGCAGCATACTTTGAACCTCCGAGTGGCTTCCACTGTAGGCCAGCCTTAGAAAAATGCACATGGCCTCCCCCCTCCCTAGCTTCTTCATGGAAAATAAGGTGCAAAATGGGTTCTTTTGGCTGAAATGTCAGCCAGTAGGGCAGAAAAGTGGATCAAGCAACCACAAGGAATTGCCTTTTTAAAAGCTCCCCTGTGAGATGCGTTTGCTCACATTCACTCAGGATAATCATCTTCATTTGGATATGGCTTCTCTCCCCGGGGTGGGAGGTGGGTTCTAATTACAATCCACTTCCACATTAAAGCCGAGCAAGGCTCCTCAGTGCAGGAGATTTTCCCCTCGTCGCAGTCGGAGGCAAGGAGGGAGGAAAGCAGGCAGCGGTAACGAGGATGGCTAATGTGTATGCGCTGCCTCGGGGGTGGCGTGAAGGAGGCAGGTTCTCATCAATCCCATTCAGAAACACCTCGCGTGGAATTCAATTATTCCTGCCGTGCCGGGGGAAGATGGTAGCACCGAAGGCTACAGTGCAAGGGAGATAAATAACAGGGTCCGCGGCAAGCAGAGGGTCTGGTCAGAAGATGGATAAGCTTGAAAGAAGATCCTGGCCCAGCTGTAGGCTCCGGTTTTCTTTCTGGGCCCACACTGAAGTGCAGGTGATGTGCGGCAAGCCAGCCAAGCAACGCTTTCTCCTTTTTTGTTTGTCTCCCCCCCCAAATCTGTGTGATTTCTTACATGATGTGATGCCAGACTCTCATTAGAGCACAGCTAGGGGAACGGATGGCCCTAACACCAGCTAAGGGCTCTGGGCCCACAAATAGCCCACAGAACAAATTCATACGCAATTAGTTTTTTCCTCTAAGCAACGGGAAGAGAAGACAGCCTTGCAATATTTAGTTAGAAGAGATTAAGTGTCCTTTGTGTCCTATTTGATAAGGCAAGAACTATCTGGCACACTTAATTGCAAAGGAGAGAGTTAAGAAAAAACAACTTATTTATGAATCTGTCCTGCAAGACCTAGAGTAGGGACGCTGGAGAGCTCACATCCCACTAGGTTTAAAGTGCAGGTTAGAAAAGCTTCCCCACTAACCTATAGAGATGCTTGGGGCTATTTTTTGGCCCTTATGCTTTGTTGCCTCCAGTTCTCCCGGTGCACAGCAAACCCTTCAGCAGTTGCATGCCTGAGCCACCGCTTTGCCTCACTGCAGGAGGTGGGCTAGCAACCTCTTGAACCATCTCTCTCAAGCACACGTCTATGATCTCATGCTAAACTAAAAGGAGGCTAATCTTTGCATAAATTTGCACTTATCCCATCTTTCATAAGCAAAAAATGAAGGTGGAACACAGAGCGCTCGCAGGAAACCAGTGTAGCAGGGAAAATTAAATGTAGGAACTGACAGCAGACTTGGAAGCAGGTTGCCAGAGCTGATGCTGCAAGGGAAGGCTTGGCCGAGGTGCCACAGGTGAAGAGGCACTTGCAGCCAGGCATGGGGTCTGGGACAGCAACGGGGGAACACCCCTTCTGACCCCCTGCAAGTGGCCTGTGCGTGCTCTGGCAGACCTGGCTGCTGATAAATCCTCAGCTGAATACCATCGAAAAGAAAATTTTAGGAGGCTGTGAATGCATCTCAAATGCTCTTACGACAATTTAAGCTATTCTGTCTTTGCTTCTGTGACAACCAGGTAATTTTTATATAATTATTCTCCCCTACTGAATAACTTGAGAGATATAGATCTCTCTCTCTCCATATATATACACACACAGTATCTGTGTACTACAGATGCGCCCTTACATTGGTGCACACCTACATCCCGATTCTCCGAGTTCTCACCGAAATCGGAATGTTTTTAGATTCAGTTCTGATGCAAGCAGATGGGCCTCGCAAGTCTTAATTCAGATCTTTTGCAGTCAACTGCAAGTGTCTCAAATTCACGGAATAATTCAAGTAGTTTATTTCCTACAGATGACACACAGCACCTAGGAAAGGAAACACGATTGAACGTGCACACGCAGTGGTGCATTGCAGGCAACTGATTACTGCAATAATCACTTCTACTTGTCAATACTAGGATTGCTGCTGTGAACAGTTAATCACAGAAGTAAGTTCTACTTCAATAATCTCGGTGCATACATTAAAACCCAGAAAGCACTTGAAATATTTACCAGTTTATTTGTATTAGTTAAAAAATTGGCAGCAACTATATTTTCATGTTACAAAATGATTTTTGGCCTGCTGACAAAACCTGCTACAAATGACTTGATCACTACTCACATTGTCTTTCACCAAAAAGATACCTTAGGAAACAAGGCTCGTCAACAGTGTAACTATACTTATTGTTGAGCATAAAATGGTTCAAAAGACACATTTGGTAGAAGCCACAGATACGGGCCAGAGATCCAGTCCCTACAGATCCGATATCCAGAGGGTTGATTTCCATTAATAGTAGAATATGGTAGTCACAGCTGGGCTTTCTAAAAGGGAAATTTGATGTGGCTCAGGTGCCTGCAGGAATAATTCACAGCAGAAGCCAGGGTAAGCACTTCTGGAGAGAGATGAGAAGCAAAGGGGATTCCTCCTTGCTCCCTCTTTTAAATGACATCAGTGCAGTTTCAGAGCACAGTTCGAGAAGTGGAATATAGAATTCAGTATGGCAAATAGGAGTATGCAGTGTACAAGACTTTCAAAGATAATATATGCTACAAAAACCCTATGGTTAAGACAATTAAGTCCCAAGACTGTTTCAAACAGCTCCAGCTTTAGGATTTTTAATTATTAAAATCATGTCACCAAATCAAGAGAGGTCACGAAACTCAAGCTTCTGTATTCTGCTTCAGCTACAATTATGCAGCAGGAGGTTTGTAGAGGAAGAATGCTTTATATGCTCAGTATCAACTAGCTTGGGACACAGCAGTTTAAAAATTATTACAGATTAAAATAAGTGGTTGATTCTTTAGGACTCCTCCTTCCAGTCACTTCTTGCACTATATTCTCAGTCATATCTTGTTTGACTTAAAAAAAAAAAAAAAAAATCAGGCCATAGTTCTGTTTACATGACTCATCAGGTGTTCTTCTGGGAGCTAAAAAGAAAAATAAATTTAATTACTATTATATAGTACTGCAGGCAACTTTCAGGCTGAATTATAATCAAATGTCATTTGGAAACATATGGCATAATATGAGATTGGCTTAACTCCATTATCTCAAGATGAGAAATAAAGCCCAAATATTGAAAGCCTTCAAGAAAGCACCTACCTTGGGTTAATAATTCCTTTCAAAAGAGCCCATTTACTTCTCCTGACACTGGGTCCAAGTCTATATCATAGAAACAGGGTCTTGTAGGAAGTCCTGGCATAGTGCTCATCTGGACAACAAAAGATAAATGTTAAAATGGAAGCAGCGTAGTTTCGTGCAGAAGAGGTAATACTAAATCACTGCTGAAGACTACGATGGCAGCAGCCGATGCAGCTCCTTGCACATGTACATACTAGTTGGATGATGGTCACATAGCATTTTGAAGCATACCGTGAGAATCAGGAACTCCTGGCTCAGTAGACAGATCTGGGGTTTTTGTTTTTTTTACGATGAGGATTTAGTTTGGCTTCTGCCTCTGCCAGTGACTAAGCCCAAGATTTGGCAAAGTACTTAGATATCCAGCTGACCTGTTAACTCTTAGAGGAGCATTCGTGGACTTTGCTGTGGCGAGACAATAATTACTTGTGGCAGTTTCCTGGTTATTAAAATGAGGATACATGTTTTAATACAACTTTGCCGACTATAAAGTCTCAGTTGATTACAATTCTGTAAGAGTCTAGAACTAGAAGTATTAAATAATTAGGAATAATTACTGTTGAGAAGAGAGTTTAAATAGTTTGGTTTTTTGGATAAAGCTTAAATAGAGATGGAGAAGTCAGTTCTCCTGACTGGAACATTTCCAAGGTGTTCAAGCCAGAAGGGCTGTGCAGTGGCAGAACTGAAACTGCCAGCACTACGCCAGCCTCAGGCCAGTCCTCTCCAGTTGTCCCACTGCCGAGTACCCAGTTTCAGAGCTGCAGAATGCACGGCCGGCGGGGGCTACGCTTGGCCTGATTTACTAATGCAGCTGACAGGATTTCCCCTTCCCTAACTCAGCGTTTAGCCCAGCAGCACATGTAGGCTAAACATGGATGCTCTACAAAGGTGGGCAACTTGTGACCATGCTTGGTAGTTCGTGCCAGTGGTCATTAACCCCTTTAATAAAAAATTCAAGGTCTCATTTTCTATCTGCACCATCCAGCCTCAGCTTTCACAATCAGTATTGTTATGCCTGTCTCCATTAGATTAAAGATCTCTTTGGCAACCTGGTATTTTCTCCCCGAGCAAGTTATTTTGCACACTAATCAAATTACCTTCCAATCTTCCTTTTGATAATAAGCTAAGCAGCAAGGAGGCAAAGCTCTATTAGTCAGGCGTTTTCTGCAGTTCTCAAAACTGTTCGGGGAGCTTTTGGAGTCCCATCCCATTTTCCTAAGCCATTTACAAGTGCTATCACCAGTCCCATATGTACCGTACCACTGCAGGTCTTGCATGGCTTATGTGGAGGTAAAAATCACTTCAAGTCTACTCTTTGTAATGAATTCTAAGACTGCACTAGTTTTTTGTCAGAGCCACTGCTTTCCCAGACAGAGAACAGGGGGACTACAGAGAAGACCCTCATTCCTTGTCTTTATGTTTAGTTGTATGAATACTTTGCTCTCAAGAGCCAAGGTATTAAGAGATACAAAGTGCCTGGAAGGGTTTTCCTGTTCTCACCATAGTCACTGCCAGTCTCCGGTCATGCAGAGCAAGACACTTCCTATTTATTTACCTATCACTGAAGAATCCTAGAGCTTTGCAGATCTCCACCTACAGATTCAGAGGGCCACAGCAGGAGCTGAGACAGTGACATTCAACAGGGTAGGAGGTGCCATATTGCTGAAGATAGGTCTGACTACTATTTCTTGCACTTTCTATTTTGAAAAGAACGGTCAATTTTCCTCCTCTCCTATCCACAGGGCAGTCCACAGTGGCTACTCCGCTATCTATTTCTTAAAGACAGTCTGCTTAAACCCTGAATTTCTATGCAGTACAGGATAATTTCCATCCAGGCTACTAATTGTCTGTACAAGTGTCTACAATGCTTAATGCACTCAGTTTTTTTCAGAGCTGAAGAAATGAACTTTTCCTCCATTATCCTCCTCCCCTTCAATACCACATGTGCTGAAAAAGAACACAGGGCAATTCACACTATTTACTTACATGAAAAAATTAGACCACATGGATATTATCAATCCCCTTGCAAGATTTCAAATAAAACCAATACCAACTAAGAATGTATTATTTATTGCACTTGTGGAACTTCCAAAAAAATGCCATTTAGGAACTAAAAAAGCAGAGCCGAATAAATAATTTGTTTTCAGTTCATCAGCAGCACCAGAAAAGAAATCCAACCAATTTGAGTCCAACGATTTATTTCACTTTCATTATCTTTCATGCTCAAAGTTAAATCTAGATAATCTTTGTAATTATATTTCTTTTAAAGCCTCAAAGTATTTCATTAAAGTACAACAGCTTCAACTTTGAGCCAGAAAGGGAAAAACCCCAAAACTCAGAAGCTGAGAAAAAATAAAATGTGACATACCTTTGTGATTAACTTCAGATAACAAGAATACACATGCACAGTGATTAATTTCACCTCAAATTTCTCATAAAACCTTCTGCATAGAGTTACATATTTGCTGCATTTTCAGCTCACAGTTCAATGGCTGCTGCCAAAAATTTATTCTGAGGGTAACACACCTCCTCCTGAATGGGTTTAAAATAGTCATCTGATTCAAAATGCCCTGGATTGCTTCTCAAAAGGACATCCCTTCCTTGGCTTTGTAGACATCACAGAAGAGTGATCTTCAGGTCCCTAACCAGAAGACTTACTGTTAATTCTGGTAGAATTAACACCATGATTTACTACATGTCCAAGAAAACATTGGGAATCTGGGAAGGGAGCAGAAAGGAAAGAGTCCAACTTCATAGAAACTGCAGACATCAGAAAAAGAGCCAAAAATGTTAGCTTTAATGTCTGAAAACATCTTTCTCTTGTGTAGCTCATTAATGCTGTGTACCCTTTCCTTCTCCAGTGCTTATAAAAAAATAAATAAAGTAAATCATTGTTTGATTAAATCTTGGCTTGCAAAAAAATGTCATTAATAACAGGAACAAGCATGCTATCTTTCATTTTATCCCAAAACACACATTACTCTTTTTAAAGATGGATGAGCCAGACTTTAATCAGGATGCGGTTATTTTATTTACGTTGGGTACTCTGGAAACCCTTACCTACCTCTTTTTTTTTCCTTTTTTTTTTTTTAAGAATTAAAAAAGATATCCAATGTTTGGCTCTAGCTAGCATTTGAAGGAAGAAGCAATCCAACTCATAAATGAGCAAATTTCATCATCTGAGCCATGCACCTCTAATGCTTTTGAAAGCTTATTAAAACAAAACATGTTGCCATGAAGACTTCAGAAAAAGGTTCAGGTCCACAAAAAAAAAAAAAAAAAAAAAGACAGAGCTGCTTGCTCCAACTGCTCCATCCCCTAAAATAATCTAACAAGTTACTTAACATTTGCCCAGAAGAGATTTCCCAGATAAGATTTCCAGTGGATCCTTTCATCCTAACATTCTTTCTTTGGATGCAAACCTGAACGTCAGCTCATTTTGCAGGTAGCTCCTCTTTCAGCCAGGCAATTCATATCAAAGCTATTCCAGGATCCTGTTTCCATTGTAGCTGCTCTCTCTCCTCTCAGCTGACATTATGCCAGTCAAGTCAAAGAACACAAACTAAAAACTCAAGGGCACAGTGAAATGAATTGTTGGAACTGATGCAGGCTGAACAGCAAACAGATGGTCAGCAAACCCCTGAGAACCAAATGGGAGGGGAGACTGACAAATGACTAACAGTACAGGTCAGCTTCACTCTGGAGATTTCTCATCAGAAGTTGCTTTGTAAGCTTTGGAGGAGTTGTCTTGTTCTACCCTGATCTGCAGGTGTACAGACCTCACCTGCAATAGTGCAAAGTGCTTTCATCAGGAATGCAAAGTCACAACGGCAATCAGGTGGGCCAAGGATTTCTCCCATCCCTTCTAACAGACTGCAGTTCCCAGAATTCATTAACTACAGAGCTCAGCCTTTCCTCAAAATCCAGGAAGACAGAGATGTGGGACCTGAGGGGTACACTGGGGGCTTGCCAAGTATTCAAATGGTCAGATGGTCTATTTTAGCTTCCCTCTCCCCCCCTGAAAAAAAGCTATTAAAAGGCATCTAATACACTGGACTGTTAAAACCACCTGTAAATGACAAGGACTCCCCTAATTTAAGATACCTTTTGTAACTGCTTACTGGAATGCACATGAAGTTTTTTCCTTGCCCCACACTTGAGGGTTTCACTCAATCACGTACCGTTCCTACTAGCGGATACAGGAATCCAGCACCAACACTGGCCCGAATGTCTCGGATTGGCAGAATAAAACCTGTAGGTGCTCCTTTTCGTTCAGGGTCATGAGACAATGATAAGTGAGTTTTAGCCATGCAGATTGGCAGGTTTCCAAATCCCTGGGAAAGGCAATGAAAAGAGAGAGAGAGAAAGAAGAGAGAAGTAAGTGAAAAACCAGTAACCTTTCCTGTACACAAGTAATTGCTCTATTCTGCCATTCTCTGCAGACATCAGACATTTTATTGGGACAGTTTACTCCTCACCAACTGCTTCATCCACAGCCTATCAGATCTGTTGACCATTCTGCATCCCCATTCCTTTTCTCTCAAAGTCTCTCCCCGCCCCCACTAAGTATTAAGGAAAGAACCACCATGGCCCACTAAGTATTAAGTATTAAGGAAAGAACCACCATGGCCCCCAGCACATCCAACTGAGGAAAAAATTAATGATATGGAAAAAACACAACCTTGATAGCCAACTTACTTTCTACTCTGTTCCCAAAACGTTAATTTAAACAGCTCAGAACTAAAGTTCTTGTTCAGCTGAGGTCAGTTAATTAGAAATGTTTGATCAATATAATTGCAGGTCGTGAGGAAGTAGCAATTACATAGCTATGGTATTTTGATAGACTTGTAAAGGAATATACAAGAAACATGAAAGTGAGAAACTATATATGCCCATAGTAAACGGACTGCAAAAGCAAATTCAAGCACACTGTAAACAAAGAATGGCTAGTTCTCACATTGCTCTTCTCTTCAAAGCCCTTTACAGACCTTCATTAATGCAGGAGCAGGTAAATTCACAAGAACGTCATGCTGGAGAAGAGTAAAAGCAACACAACAACCAGAAAGCATCTAATTCAACAACCAGATGCCAGGTTCAAAACTTATAAAAGTAGACTTTTTTCCACAAGAAGTATTGTATCACCTGTAGAACTCTTTCCCCAACATAATTGCCACTGCCAAAAATCCATATGGGTTCAAAAACTGATTAGACAACTCAGTGGAACAAGGTTAAAAAAAAATTATCAGAGACTATTTAGCACCAGTCTGACCACTTGCAGTTCCCTAATTCCCAAATTTCTGAAGGATTGGAGAGTACAGTTGAGAAAGATCACTGAATCCTCCTGCTCTTCTCTCCCCATACACTATCATAGATGTGCTACTGGGCCAGATGAGTTCCGTCTTCTCCACTAGAAGCCAGGGCCAGTTTCTCCCTCCCCATACCACCTTCTCTTCCTCTGCCATAGCAGCACCCAATGAGTCCTGCACAAGGACATGATTTGAGTGATGATTCCCTTCACACACAGTTTGAACACCATTGTTCAATACGAATATTTTAAATGAAAAGCACCACTGGTATCAGGTGACGTGGAAAACTCACTTGCTTAGTGTAGACGGTGACTTTCTCCTGTGCTTCTGGAAGTAGCTCAATGTCACTTGCCCCATAGATCTGCTGTGCAATAAGTCTAATCTTGTCTATAACAGGGAGCTAGAAAAAAAAAAAAGGACAGGCAAGTCAGTGTGGCCAAACTGCAAAGAGCCATAACATCACAACAGCTTCACAATCCTTCATACGTGTTGTGCAGTGCCCACCTGCAGATACAAGAGCTATTCCCATTTGCTGTAGAACATACAGTAATTGTATAGCTGTATACATATATATATAGCTGTAGCTATACAGTAATTTGAGGGTTTTCAGAACAGGTTTCATTTATCTTGTTGCAGTTGTTTCTCTTGGTAAGAGGGCAAAGCTAGTTTACTACAGTCAGAAACAAAAAGATACAAACCAGTTATTTCTTATAAGCTGTGCTTGCATGTTAATTACCCTTGCTGCAAAAGAGACATCTTTATTGTTTCTCAAGTCTAAGTCAAAAAGCAGACAAAAATAATCTGAGGGAATGCAAGTTAATGGTTAAATAAAGCACAAATAAAACAGGTTAAAGAAGAAAAATTGAAAGCATCTGTTAAAGAGCTAAAATAGATACAATGACATAGCTCTGTACCTCATTAGGTTCTTGAATAGGTGCTTGCTATTAAAGGAGGATTCAGGCCATAACCTGGGAACTAACAGTGACTTCATGGAAAAGATGAGGGGTAATGGGTACAAGTTACTCCTGGGGAGATTCCAATTGGACACAAGAAGAAAATTTTTCACAATGAGAACAATCAGCCATTGGAATAATCTCCCCAGGGAAGTGGTGGATTCCCCAACATGGGACACTTAAGATTCGGTTGGACAGGGTGCTGGGCCATCTTGTCTAGACCGTGCTTTTGCCAAGAAAGGTTGGACCAAATGATCCTTGAGATCCCTTCCAACCTGGTATTCTATGATTCATTACCTCCAAGTCATCTGTCAAATTTGCTTAAGTACAAAGTTATTAGAAATACACACACACTCTTCCACCCTGACTTGTAGTGTGACTCCATAAGCCTTACTTGCAGAGAAGAAAAAAAGTTAAAAATGGACAAGTTCTGTTCCATAGCCTGTTGGATAGATTCCCATCCTGAGCAACAAGTGCACCCAGAAGCTCCGCGGTAAGGTAACAGGTTTGGTCAGGCTTGTTCCAGTCCATGCAGACAGGAATGCATGTCTCAAGTTCAAGTAAACTTCCCGCTACCCTGGAACATAGGTGCCATGGTAGAAACCTGTTTGTCATCTCTAGCAGAGTCACAGCAGCATCCTTCAGTGTCAAAAGTAAACAATATTTCACTTGGTAGTCAGAAGAACAAGAACGGAGTAACTAGGTCTTTGAGACTGGTGGAATAAGTGTTATGTTCTAAAACATAACATTTCTCAGTTTCTCAGAGCAGCCTTCCAGACAGCCTTCAGCAACTTAAGCTAGTGAAACCAACTGATCTCCACCTTACAAAGTACCTCTGTAATACTGCAAGTTCTTACCTCCGCATTATAGAGGAACCTGAAGTTGCTGGGTGTCTGCGATGCTCTCTGAACAGCTTGGGCCAGTGCAACCGCTCCTTTACCTCCCTCTGCCCAGTGAGTGCACTCCACAGCTTCAAATGCTCCTGCTTCCTTTGCCAGTTGTACTACAAGGGCCAGTTCAGCCTTTGTATCTGTTCTGCAAGGAGAAAAGTTCGTGCATTTGTACCAGAATGCACACACAGTAAATTAACTGTTTGTTCTAACCATTTTTCACTCTTGTTGACAACATCCAAAAGCTGTCTAAAGAAATTACAGAATCCAGCCAAAAGGAAGCTGCTGAGGGGCTAGCCACCACAGCCTTCTCCACCTTGGTGAAGGAAGCTACTCCACAGAGGAACAGACAGCAACAGGTAGCTCTGGAACTACGTGCAGAAACCCGTGACTACTGACAGAGCAGCGTTCCAGACTTCCTGTTGTATCTGTCCTGTATCGGCAATGCAACTCCTGTTTTCAGAAGCAAACTCAAAAAGGTGTTAGTATTGCTGATTTAGAGGTGATAGATCGATCTATCTATCTATCTATCTCACATGCACACAGCAAGCTAAAAACCGTAACTGCTCTAAATCAGCCAATATGCATTTACTTCAGATGAAGAATCCTTAGCTGGCATCAGCTTTAACACACCAGTTCAAAGCCCTTCTGCTTGCATAAAAAGACCACACACAGATTCTATTTCCTGTGCAGTACAACATGCAGAGCCCAAAATGCTTCTTAGAGGGACACAATTATTCCATACAGCAGACCACTGAACAGTGTGGTTGACAGCACAGGCACCTCACCATCTATTATAAGCTTAGATTCCACATAGTCACAGGCACCTTTTGTCCACAGTAATTTGGCCAGTCAGGGTCTAAGTGATGGCAGGTAATAGTCACTGATCATAAAATCCTAAGCTAATTTAAACTAAGCAATGCATTTGAAAGGACTAAGCAGAGCTCCCCTATTTATTCAGCATCTTCCAACAATGCAAAATGCTGCAAAACAGTACATTGACAGTACTGAAAACAAGAGTTTGTGTTAAACATAGCATATAAAGTGCCACAATTTTATTCCCATGCATGACTTCTATGTCCCCGCTCACTTACTTGAAAGCATTGACAGCCACTACTACTGGGACACCAAACATCCGTGCATTTTGGATTTGCTTGTTTAGGTTACTACAGCCTTTTGCCAACAGTTGAAGATTCTGTAAAGAAGACAGCAAGCAAAAAGCACGTTTTATCGGGGCAGTGAAACTTTTGTTCCAAATCCACTATGTCCACAGCTAATGATAAAAATGTCAAAACAGGAATGAAACAATAAAGGCAAATCCCTAGTGCTGCTTTCTGAACAGTCCAGACCAGTGCATGCTCTTGGATGGAAGACAGGAAAAGGAATGACTACTTCTAATGATCACTGGTTTCAGCTGCCAAGCCAAGGTAAGAGAAATTACTTTTTATCATTTTTTTGTTATTCTTAGTAAGTTAATACCCGTGCTCATTAACTCCTCACAGTAAAGCCTCAGTTTCCTCTCTGACGCATTCCTCTTTATGTATTAAATATCATTAGCAGTGAATTTCATGACACTTGTTTGAAGCCTGTGGCAACAGCTTTCAGTTTACACATATTTACATTTTGCAGCATCAGAGACTATTCATGGAAATACAGACATTTCATCCCTTCCTATGCAAAGGATAATCCATACAGAAGCTCCACAAGTGAAAAAGCTGCAGCAATATAGAGAGCCAGACCAATTAGCCAAGTGTACACAACCATTCAAGGCACAAGGATAGAAGCTGAGACTTTAGTTCACTTTCCTCTCTGCCTGCAAAGGAGGAGAGGGGAATAAAAACAAAAACTGCTGCTGCTAAGAAGAGAGTAATTAGAGAGGCACTCTGAATATTTTCAGAGACAATATTTCAGCCAAGCAATTACTCTATACTGAGAGGGTCAGGGGACACAGAGTAGATATTACTATGAAAAATTGAGTGCACAGACAATTGCACAAGCTCAGGAGAAACGAAAAGGCTCTGAATACTGGCTAGGTCAAGTACAATAAATGCTTGAAAGAGCAGAGCCAAAGTAACATCATTAAAAAAAAAAAAAAAAACAACACACCAAAAAAGCCCCCGAACATTACAGGTTGTATGAGGAAGCATTTCCCTGGCAGCTAAAAAGAGATGACACACTAGCTATCCAGGCATGCACTGCATGACAATATCGCATCATGACCACAGTTAGTTGGTCAACTGTCACAACAGCTAAAGAAGGTTACCTCTTCCATGTACTCCTTTGGTAAAGGTACCCCAGCAGTGACCTGGGAAAAAAAAGAAAAAAGAAAAAACATGGAACTCCACAAGATTTTTATCCATGACAGCAATTTGTGCTTGATTCTTATTAAATGGCATCAAATTACAACATTCTACTCCAGGCTGATCCTTTTTTCTAAGAAAAAAAAAAAGGAAGAATAAAAGACTGCAAGATGCACTCACAATACAACAAATGACTGTGGTAGTATCACAAGTGCCCCAGCATACAAGCACTTCATTAGGACAATAAAACAAGCAGGTATGTACCTGTAACATACTACAATGAAGCAGCTTACAAGCAACAGGGACATATGGATTCCTCTTACAACTGCAAATCTCAAGACAATTACAAGCAGATCAAACCCTACAGGGCTTTAAGTGACTGGATCAGAACAACAGTAACAGCCCCTCAAGCCTAAAGAAAACCTTGCCTAGTACTTACTGCAGGCCCTCCTCCATGCATTTTCAGAGCTCGGACAGTAGCAACCAACACCACCACATGAGGCCGGAGACCGGAATAGCGGCACTTAATATTAAAGAATTTCTCCATGCCTATGTCTGCACCAAATCCTGCTTCTGTAACTAGAGTAGGAATTAAAAGAAAAGAAGCTTGTGAGAGGTTGCTGGGTGGAGAAATCATGCTCTGATTATATAAATCAGAAGCTTCTTCCAAGACAAAAAAACCAAAGACAGTCACAACAAAAAAAAGGCAGATCCCTCCCTGCAAAACAAACAAACAGCAAACAAAAAACCACCCCACACACTTACCAACAAATCCCTCTTTACCCACAAGCTTCAGTGCTATTTTGTCTGCCAACACTGAAGAATTCCCATGTGCAATATTGGCAAAAGGTCCAGCATGAACAAACACTGGTGTTCCCTAGAAAAGGGGGGGTGTGGGAGAGAAAGAGAATCAGAGGGTACAATTTAGCAAATCTGTGGCACTTCAGGAGCTAAGTACTACAGTACTTGAAGGTAAAGAAAAACTCTTTTAGAAGACAGATCTTAAAGCCTCCTGATCAAACATTTGTTATCCGTAATACAGACTACAGGGCAAACAGGATTATAATAATCTGCACAAGTGGAGATATTAATCCACTTAGGAAAAGGATGGCTAAATCCCAGCAACTCTTTGCCATTCTCCTGCATCCACACCATTTAGATTCCCAAAACACTTCCTGGCATTAAAGACAACAGAACAGAGACACGACAAAGTTTGGTGCATTTCCTCGGCGTCATCCCACATGCCAATGGCAGACCTAGAAAGAAGCTAGCCTTCTCCCCTAGCCCTGAACCTTAGGTAGGAAACCACAATAGACCTCCAACTCTAAGCCGAGTAATCCCATGCCGATTGTGATGAATAAACTAAACCGGTTGCTTCTTGGCTCTAAAAATGCAGGTACAGCAAATCATCTGTGCTCACCTCTAGTGTCTGCATGAGGTTTGGTTTAACAGCATCTTTCATCAAGACAGCCAGAGCACCAGTCACTCCCTAAAAGAAAAAAAAAGGGCAATCAGTTTCCAGATGTACCAAGACCTTGAGACAGTTCCTATGCAGTGTCAAGGCTCTGCTTTTGTCCTGGTGAGCTTTCAGGACCAGAACCAGCAGTTGCTCTAGATATAACTAACTCTAACCAGGGCAAAGCAGAATAATGACCTTTACATTCTTGTAAGAGGATCTGTGATTTCTGCTGGGGGCAGCCTCTTGGTTGTGACCTTGCTTGGCCATCACTTTGTATTGAAGGCATAAAGAACAATTGCTGTTTCAATGCTGTAACAAGGTTAGTAAACAATAGCAGCGAGAGAGTAACCCTTAGGTACATATGATTTACTGTAGCCTATTCAGTGGCACAAAGCAGTGTTCTTAGGTTTTGCAGGTAGATTTGTCTTGGACTTTTTTCCTTCCTCATTTCAGCAACTAGGCTCCACTGGCCTTAAAATGTCATAACAAGCTGCTACATCCTGCCCAAGTCTCTTGTGCGGAAATATCTTTTAAAGTGAACCCCTGTGCTCGTGAGAAAGACCAGGCTGACATCATGAAGGGCAAACACTGGAGCCCACGTTTTCTCTGAGGTGCAGCAATAATACCCTGCTGCAATTCTGCTTCCTGCAAAGTGAAAGCTTGTGATTTCATCCACATCTGCTTTGGGAAGAGAAAATGAGGGTTTGGTCATCCTTGTGACTGACACAGTCCAGTGGAAACCAAACTGGTTGTTACCCAGCACTTGTAAAAGTAACTAGAATTGCTATCATGGGTACTGAGCCAAACATTCACAGCAGTTATGAAAACTTTGAACCATGATTTCTTTTTCTTCCCTTTTAATTTCAATTGGATTGCAGCACTCAATTATATGAAAGATTTTTTTTTTTTTAGACATTCACTGCTCTGTTTCATTAGTTTCAATCTTGCCACATGAAAGCTTATTTAACATTTAATGGATAAGTTTTAAACTTCAGTCATCTCCAGAATAATGAAAACTACAGAGCAACATTTCCATGGAGACATTTCAGGCCTGTGTCACTCAACGGCACTTCAATACATCCCATCTCTAAAAACCTGTAGTCAGTTTTTGATTCCACATTTCTTCCCAGTTTCTTTGTGCTTCCTGGTAGCACACTCATGACATTGATTATATCACAGCAGAAGGACCCAGACATCTTATTGTGTCAGTCTGGTCTCTGTAATCACCACGTTTCTGCCTGCATGAGGAGTATGTAACACAGTCCTAACGATGCAAGCCAATGGCTGCCATCAGTGCAAACATATAACATTCAAGAGAACCTGTTGGACAGGTCTGATACCATCCTCCATTCTGCAGTTGCAATGGACAAAATTAAATATAATTAGATTTAAAAAAAAAAAAAAGGTAAAAAAATCTTGAGGTGAAAGACTTCTATCACCTGGACTCTGCATAAAACTCAAAGCAACTCCCTACCCAAGCACCATCTGCCTCCACTGCTGATGGGCAGGCAGGAGAGACTCCTGTTTTCCAGAGCAGGGTGTAACTCAGGTAGTTAAGGTTAAACTGGCAGCATGCTAGCAGTAGGAATTAACATCTCAAAGCTGCCTACAGAACTTTGGCACATGCCCGCCCTCATTCCCAACAAACATCTCACATAAGAACATTTACAGATAAATGGTTCCCAGTCTAGCCCTTGTCCTGCAAGGCCAGAGTCAGGCCACATGGCTGATCTACCGTTGCTTAGGTTTATCCTGGGAGGAAGTAGAACAAACCAAAAAAGTCCCCCAAACACACAAGAAAACAAAACCACCCACATCAAGATAGCAAGAGCTAGGTAAGCCTTAGTGCTGTGTCCCACCTTGCTGGAAACACAGGTCAGGATACCCACCCTGCGGATTCTTCTATCCCACTGGAAATGTTCATTCAGAAAATGCAAGACAAACCTCATTAACACCACATCATGCAAATTTGTAATACTCTTGTCTTTTGCAAAGCAGGCTGTGAAATACCTTCTATACAGGACAGCAGTAAGCACCAATATCATATCTCTATTGACTAGTGCAACAGTCCTGAGTCTGTTCTGTCTTGAGGCCAAGTGGCAGGGCACAGTTCACATACAGGGCTCAGTTCCCTTCCTGTCTCCAAACAGGGTTGCCATCTTCAAAACATTTATTGGAAGAAGTGTCTGGGGCACAGGCTATTCCCCTGAAACCACGCTGAAGCACCATTTGTGAGAGCGCTAGTTGACACACTCCACAAACATGCCAAGAACTGTAGTAATAATTATTGTATGGACAGCTGCAAGACAGGGCTGCAGCTTGCAACTGCTGCTTAGGACTGCTTTACGTACCGGCAATAGACATCACCAGTGCTACTACATTCAGCATTTCATGCAGTGGAAATAAAGGATTTGTGTCCCTTGTCAAAGGCTGCCTTACAGAGACCTTGCACTTTTTGCAAAGGGTTTGGCTTTTATAGCATTCACAGCCTCCCAGAATAAGATATTTCATCATCTGTAATTAAAATTGCATGAGGCTTTGTTCCTGCTCAATGTTTTCCTCACTCCAGGGAGCCTGAGAAACAGGATGGCCAGCAGGATGCATTTTGAGTTCTTCCGATTCGTAAATATGCTTTTATCTAGAAGCCACCATGTATTTCCCCATTAATTCCTATGGTGCTAGCTTCAACTTGACACACAGCACATCACACAGGACTCTTTTTCCATGCCCAGGTCACATGCACACACACACTCTCTGGGTAAGGTGCTAGCCACACTGAAGTAAAATACTCATTAACTCCAGGGGCTAAGATTTCATCTTTGATCTTCTATATGCTAAGGACTTTTCTGTACAGAACTGTCTCTGTGCTTTTCAATCCAAGGGCCTTCAGAAGTAATAGGAAAAAGCATTTAAGAACTGAATGACTCTCTTACAAGGTCATCTGCTGTAACTGGTTCTCCTCTCTTGCTAGAAGCTACTACCATTCTGCCCAGTCGCTTTTTCATATCATCCAACCCATCAGAGAGTGCTAGAACTGCCATGATTTCACTGCTCACCGTGATGTCAAACTGAGCCTGCAAGAGATGAATAAAGAATGTGAACTCATCAAGATTCCCTAGCAACACTCCTTACCTCCGTTAAATTCTTGAAACAAGGCTAATCATCACCATCATAAAAAAAAATAAAAATACAGACATACAAATACAAAAGAAATCCAAAGCATTACTCTCAGAACATGCTTCATTTAATTTGGCCATTTTAAACTGGATTTTTTTTTCTGCAAAATTAAGTAAAAACTACTTATTCCATTGCTATTACATGACTCTCCCCTGGCACATACATTAGTGATTCATGTAAGAACACTTAACACTAACAAATTATATTTTTGAAGACTGAGCTTACTAACTCATCTGACTATCACTAAACAGTACAGTAAATGACAAAAAAAAAAAAAAATCAGATTCTATAGGAAATGAAGGGTAGAATTCATCTGACATAACGCAGACACCTCCATCAAAGCTAAGCACTCTAGGGACATTTCAAGTCAATAGCAAGAGGCTTTTCTGAGCACAATTCATTTGAACTATTAATTTGACAGTTACTTAAGGGATGAGAGGAGTCACAGCATAGATTGCCTATTTTACTCTATTGATTATATAATGAATCTAGACAACAAGCTCAGATATTGTGTCTAGTTTTGGCCAGATACATCCCACACAAAGCATCTGCAGTGGTGAAGATTAGCCATTGCCATGCATCACGTTTACAGAGGGCACTTGTGTACCACTGTTATTATGCCACAGTCATCCCAGTTTGGGAAGCCAACATTCAGGAGAGAACAGGGAAGGAGGGAACAGACAATAGAACTAAACACTGCACCGGTAGCAAATTTAACTGCTTGGTTGAAGGGACTCTCTGCTTGCTCTTTAACAAGGTACTGGTAAAAGATGGAAATATCTGGAGTTACAGAAACTTGCTTTAGTACCACATTTTTCAAAATACTTTTTAAAACATGCAAGAAAAGGGAACAATTACCATTCGTGAGAAGCCTTTTTCTGTTGGAGACTGTCCAATAGTGATTTTCCTAAGGAACCTGTCATTTGTATCCAGTACTGTGAGGAATGCAGAGAGAAAGATGAGAAGTCACGTTGCAAGTCATAAGTCACATCTATGCCCTATTACAAACACTCAGCTAGATCACCTAGGAAGAGAGAATGGCAGTTTGAGATACCATCCTCTCCTAAAGAATGGTGAGTGCTACTCAATGTGATTCTTCCCCAAAACTGAACTGCAACAAAGTTAAGATACTCACAGCCACATGCAGACCCTGCACTGCATCCAGAGGGAGTCTACCTCCCTTCGCGTGCATTAACCACAAGTCCAAAGCCTCTCTGAAAAGCAGAGCTGCTAGTATTATTCCAATTGCTTTTTCACCATCATTAGTCAATGTGAAATCAGGAAATTATTACAACCCCAAAGAAAAAATTATCATTTTATAAGTTATGTGATAAAATGGTCAGATTCTACCATTTTAGTGAGACTAGTTTCACACAGCCCCATTAACTCAAATTACCTTGGAAACACAAGCTATAAAATGCTGGCTTAAATTTGCTGTTTCTTACTACATGCTTGAAAAATTCTAAGTATTTTATAAAATATTTCCCATGAGGCAGACTACTTTAGCCCCATTACAGGTTATGAAGCAAATTTTGGAGAATACGTTTCACACTGTGTTTTAATAAAAAGAAGAAAAAACAATACTCACTCTCGGGATCTAAATCAGGAAAACATGTCCATATTTGAAATTTCTTTTGCTAGTGAAATATTAAATCTGCCAGACCAGAGACTGATCTTACCTTCAGGTATCTTTAAAAACCTTTTAAAAATCTGGCCTTTATTTGCTGTCACTCCCCAACAGAGCAAGTGGGCAGATTAAAACTGAGTTTAATCCCAGAGCAGAACCCTCTCCTTGCTCACAGAGCTTTCTCAGTCAGGTAAAAAGGCTGTTGGTTACAGTTGCCAAACTCAACTCTCTCAGTGACTGACAAATCCAGAAACACAAACTTGCACCAATTAGTGAAGTCTTAATCTTTGTGAATTCAGAGCAGATTCAAGCCCTTGCGTCAGACCCTTTAGAAATGGGATCCCAGCTGCAGGCCTCTATCCCACCAAACACTCAGAAGGAGAGGCCAGCCCTGCCCTCTTTCCCATTTTCCCAGGAACCACAGTTCCTGCTGCACTTGCAAACCTTTCTTTTGACGCACATTTTGTTTCTTAACAATTCTTTCATTTAATAGCTCTTGTACCTCTTTGCCATGTTATGGTGCCTGGGTCAATGTCCAATCTCACAAATAAGTTTACTTCTTCCTTTGTCAAAGCTGTAGGATCAGTTTTGTTAATACCCAATTTCTATGGGAAGAAAGGACAAATAAAAGAAAAAAAAGGTATAATGAAAAGATTCACAGAAATGAACCTTTCACTAGAGCAATGAGCCTTCGGCAGCAGCACCTGCAAATTCAGAAATAAGGAGGGGTTGCCTTTTTGGTGCCCCTTCTCCTAGGCCCTACAACAACGTAAGATGATCTGTATCAGTGTGTATCTGGAAGCAGAGCTTGCTGCTGGCCAGCTAGTAAAGGGCAAGGCAAACAATAGAGCTCATTAGGGCAGGTTGTCACCAAGCTTTGCGCAAGGCATCTACAGAAAGAGTAAGAGAGCAAGCTCTGCAATTCCTTACACGCCTTGTTCTAATCATTAGTCTCACATGCTTACATCCATTTCTCATTAGTTTGCCTAGGGTCACTGCACACAGCCATACGTATTTAAGACACTGCTTTCAGCATGCTGGTTAAGCAGCACAAAGGAGGAATTAAACAATTCAGTCACAAGGCTGTCAGCATCCCAGAAAGCTGATCTTGAACATACTGAGAGGATGGGCAGTTTGCCAAGTTGCTTAATTGAGAGAAGAATTATCTCAAGAAGCCTGATACAAGCGCAAGCTTAGGAATGAGGAAAACGATTGAGTTGATTTATGAACAAGCAAGCTTTTTTTAATTAACTAGACAGCTAAGTCGTATTTTTCTCCTGAAGAACAGCAGGGAAGAAGAAAGTCTGTTCTCTTCCTCTTCAAGCACATCATTTAGAAACAGAAATAAACAAACAATCAAAAAAAGATATCATTTTTCTGGAGTATTAGCATCTCGTTCACATCTCAACATTTAATAACCGTTAATAAGAGTGGTTAGGGTAGAGTTCCTTCAGCAGTCCGTCAGGAACACCAAGCAGTATGACACAGCTTCTTTGCTCAGCAGTGGAAGCAAACCACACATTCTCTAATGGTTGAGGCATAGCCAATTAATAAATCGGAGTTTTAGCTTCCTAAGTAGTCTGACTATTGCTGCTGACTTCCAAATGGGCAACTGATCCAGCCTGAATACTGTACAAACAGGTTTGTACTTTGAATGAGCTTAGCAGGCCCCAGGCTGTCCTCCTAGCCAGAAGGTCCAAGCCCAGTGCAAAACTATTCCTCCGTTAATCCTCATTTTTGCAGAAGTCAGGGACACATGCTAGCTCACATTAATTTCTGAGGATCAGAAGAGTTGTGGTCTGCTCAGGGACTGCCACTCAATGACAGGGCTACTCATCTAACTGGGAATTCTTTTTTGGAGAGAGAAGGAGTGGGCAATGTAGGGGACAGGTATTTTTTCCATTTTTCTCTGTTTTCTCAATCTGGATAAGACAAAAAATTCTCTATGTTCTCTTTTTGCTGAATATTATAAATTGCCTTTTTTTGTGCTGCATTATCTATATAGCTGTCACATGGGAACTATTCATCTCTAGCTATACATCATCTAGGTGTGAGGTACAGAGACTGATTCTGGTCCTTTCTTAAACTGCTTTAAGGACACTGAATTGACACTGTTAATAAAGGGCACTAATCCCTTTGCCTCTTCCCACTCTGTTACTCATACAGCATATGCTAAAGAGAGTTACATTAATGATTCTTCCCCTTGGGGCTGCATCTCACTGTTTTCTGTGCTGTAAGAAGGGCTACCACACTTCTGCACACTTTATGTAAAAAGTAAATGCCAGCAGAATGACCTAGAGGACAACATGAGGGTTTCTGTAACCCAGCTCTGCCTACGTAAAGGATGAGTAAATGGAACAGAACCAGAAACCAATGTGAAACCAGTGAACTTACCTGTAGTCTTCGGATCTGAATGTCTGAGAACTTCCTAACACCATTGACAGAAGGCACCAAACGGTTGTAGAGAGCCTTGCAAAATGAAACAGGTAGTTAATTAGCACTGCTGGCACACCCAAAACATCTTGGCCAAAGTGGGCTGGGCTCAAATACATCATAAGAAAGGATCGTACCTGGTCAGTCTGAGTTAGCTCATGGAATATACGTGCGTCGACTGCAGCAGCGACCAGGTTGTTGGCTGCAGTGATAGCATGGATGTCACCGGTGAGGTGAAGGTTAAACTAGAGGAGATAAAACATATCAGTTACCTCATCCTGCTGCGATTTTCATTTATTTCAATTCATCGTAGACAGATGGAAAGAGAAGTATTAATAGCAATGTTAAAGTGGGTGAGGGTGGAGGGAGAGAGATTGCTCAGTATAGTATGTGGAAGAGAGGAAAGAATTTCTCCAAAACAGAAAAATGCCTCCCCCACATTTATGTCATTTTACAAACTTCCAGAACGAAGCTTCCAAATAAAAAGGTTGTTGGTTTGTTTTTTTTTTTCACAAGAACAGTTGTCACAGGCTCATTGACACCTGAGAAGACCATGGTATGGCACATCTGCATTGCTCCTCCTTCACCTTCCTTCTGACCCACTCTCATTATTTGCACAACAGGTTTCACACATATATTAGCTGAAGCTGCTGCTGCTCCCACAAAGGTATCTGAGCTAAATTGAAACTAGCAACCTTGTGTAGTGCTAGCAGTAGAGCTGTGGTTGCACAGAGCTCTGCATAAGCTAACCACTCAAACACACAGTATCGTAGGCAGAACTTGTAGACCACGTACTACACAGTGACACTGCTAGTAGTTTTCTTGGTTCTATCTCATTAAAAGATAGTTTGAGGGGATTTGTCTACATGAGTCATCTGGCTGCACTGTACCTATACTGACAAATGGCTTGGGACATACAGCTTAAGTGACAAACCTGCATTATGGCAGGGGAATAAAAGGTGTTGTTAAAACAATCCTTTTCCTCTGTAGCAGAGCAGCAAAGGAGGAAGATGAAAAGGGGACATCAGAAGAGGAGATATGACAGAAGACCTTACAATACCATTTTGCTGAAGCCTTGCTACTGTGGTCTTAAAAACTAGATAGCTAAAAGCAGAATGCAGCTAGTCACACACTGATTATAAATCCGAATTAGTAAATGCTAATTGTTGCCTCATTCTACATACATGCAACAAGAAGCAATTATTACTACCTTGGTTCTGCAGTATGAACTCTAAAGTTTTTCACTTGCTAATCTTTTTGTAGGATAAAAGTTGCATGCAGAAATATCAAATGATGTATCAAGGTCATTACTGTAACTAGTGACTCCAGATACTTTAATTTTATGAGACATGCACTGATTAAAACACCCCCACAAAAGTATGTGTATTCATACCACGTAGGTCATACTTAAAGAAAGTCCTTTCAGCCAGTTTGGTTCCAAGAGTGGGGCTGTTTCCCGCTGCTGCACACAGTCAAGTATTTTGGCTTGTCTTATTAACACTCCCAAAGAGGAGGAGATTATTCTTCCTATCACATCTATCATTCACACATGTCCTTGGCACCTGACTAAAATCAACATTCTGCCTCCTTAACATTTTTATCTTTTATGGACTTGCTGCATCAATTGGAATGAACAGCCCTTTTGATCATTTCTGCTTTTCTTTCTAAAATTGCCCTGTGTCAATCTATAGTGCACAAGACAAAGGTAGAATTCTACAGGCAATTACTTTGAGAGTTGAAAGAAGCATGAGAGCACGTGCTACACGTGCCTTTCAATTCCCTGCCCCCAGACACAGGATTTTACTTGTTGCCAAGTCACATCAGAAATATGCTGCAGTGCCAGTCCCCCACAGGCTGAGGTCTTGGCATTACCGATTCCCAACTTCCCTTTTCCCATTTCATGTTAGTAATCTAAAACACAAGTACACCAAAACAGCTCACAGAAAGAGTCGGTGACCACCGCTGCTGACAGAACTACTTAATATGCTTCCAAAACGTATTAAGTCATTATCTTCTTCATTTCAGTGCTGGGAAAAAGAGGCACAGGATGTACTTTGCTCAAAGGTATACAGCAATTCAGGGCAAAGAAGGGAAGGGAACAGAGGAACTGGGAATTCCCAGTTCTATGAATTTCCCTGACCATGCAGGCACCCTTCTGAAACAACCAAAGATGTTTGTTTTGTGGGTTTTTTTTAAACAAAAAAAAAAAGCTTTGCTGAAATGAAGCATCCAGTTCTTGGTAGTGCTATGCTGGGCCATAAACAAAAAAGATTTTGTAAGTTATCTGACTGTAGTATCTCTTCAAGGTCTGAGTTATATGTGCAATGAGGCTTTGTATAAAGAATTACCTCTTCCATGGGGATAACTTGACAATAGCCACCACCTGCAGCTCCACCTACAGAGAGACAATAGTCAAATAATGCAAATAAAGGTCTCTCTAGCCCAGAGTGGTATTACATGTGCTTGCTTAATGGCTTTAAGAAGGCAGCTACTGTCAAGCAGCATAGTTTAAATCCCAGCACAGCACTTGAAGACAACACTGAAGAACTTACCCAAGGTTTTTCTTTTCTTTTAAGAAATGCAATTGTAACTGAGAATTATGTAAAACTACAATGTAGCAGAATAAAATCTCTGAATGACATCTTTCCCCGTTTAGTCCAACTGTAAGCAACAGAACAGCTCATACCTTTTATACCAAAGGTTGGCCCCTGAGAAGGCTGCCGAACACAAGCAAAGACATTCTGGTGAAGGTGTGCTCCTAAGGCTTGAACAAGACCAACAGTAGTGGTGCTTTTCCCCTCTCCCAGGGGAGTAGGAGTTATCCTGCAGTGAAAAAGCAGAACAGACACAATTAAACCCTTGCAGTGGGTGAGACTCGAAACACTTACAGGGATAAAACAGTCACCCAGTGATTGCAGTTAACGCAAATTCAAATTCTGGATTGGCTCATACTTCAGCTAATCTTCATCAGTTCGAAACTAGAATGATATTAGCAAATTATCACATAACTGTCGAAGACTGTCCTCTGAAACAACTTGCTAGTTACTGTTGAAGGCAGGCTACTAGACTAGGAGAACTTTGACTACGATCCAGTCTGCCCTTCATAACCCTGACCTGCGGACCAAAATAATTCATCTCAAGGACAGAAATGTTAAACTACATTCCCACTATTTGCCACAAGAGATAAATCTATTTCCCAAACCACTAGATTTTCACAGGGTGATTTACTAAAACCCAGAGCACTCCATACAGTCACCTTACCAAAAGACAATACAACAACAAGCCATGCTAATAAAATTTCTATTCACCTTGACATCATGTAAGCGATGCCTCAGTTAAGGAAGTACCTACCCAGTAACAACAATGTATTTGCCATCTGGCTGGTTCTTCAGCCGTTTCAGAGCTGACAGATGAACTTTGGCTTTAGTTTGGCCGTAGAGCTCCACTTCATCAGGGAGCAGGCCAACTTCTTTTGCAACTTGATCAATGGGCTTGAGTATGCAAGACTGCGATATTTCAATATCACTTAAAGAAAGAGCGCAAGGTCAATTTATAAGTCAAAGACATCTCACAAATTCCCTGCTTCCGGATGGCATAAACTACAAACATCTAATCTATATTTTAAAAGGGAAGATTTAACCCCTCCTAGTTAAATGAATCAATCCCACTGATATTGGCTACATTAGAATAGACACATCCTCAGAGTTGCCTT